AAATTTTTTTTATAAATTTCTTTGCAATAATTCAATTATTTTCATAAATAATAACATTTTTACAGGGATTCAATTATTTTTATAAATAATAAAATTCTTTTAGAAATTCAATTATTTTCATAAATAATAAAACTCATTGCAGAATTTCAATTATTTTTAATGCAATTTTAATCGAATTCCTCGAAAAATGTAATTATTCTTAAAAATTTTAGTAAAATTCGTCCAAAGAATTTAATGATTTAAAAAATTTGTTGATAACATTTTTTATGAGAATTTAATTTCAAGTAAAATGAAATTATTAAATTATTTATTTTTGTATTTAAATAATTGAATTTTCGTAGAATTTACTAATAAAAATGCTTTTAAAAATGAATTTCAGTTAAAATTTTAGATTATAATTAAATATTAAAAGCATTATAAAGTGAATTTTTAGAAATAATTAAATTTTGAAAAAGTTTCAAATTAAAATCATTGAAAATTCTTAATTTTTCATATTTTTGACAAAAAATTCTGTACACGGAAAAAAATATAAAGTAACTTTTACTACTTTTATAGTAAAAAATTTCCGGTAAAGCATTTCTGGTAGTTTTTACTACTTTTGGAGTAAATTTTGCTACGTTCGAAGTAAATATTTGTAAAAATTAGTAAAATTTACATCGAAAGTAGCAAAATTTACTCCAAAAGTAGTAAAAATTACCAGAAATGCTGTACAGGAAATTTTTTACTATAAAAGTAGTAAAAGTTACTATATATTTTTCTCCGTGTAGAATTAATTCCTTTTAAAAGTTAAATAGGATTGTTATTGAAATTATTTCAAGTTCTTATTTTTCAATATATATTTAATTGCAGAATTTGCGAATAATTGAAATTTTGTAAAATTGAATTGTAAACGAATGAATTTGAAAATTCTCATAGAACTTTTTTAAAAATTATTAAAAATAATGGATTTGTTGAAGAATTTTAGTTAAAAGCACTAGAAAAAAATTTAATTTTAGAGAAGTTACAAATTATTGCAGAAATTTAATTATTTTCAAGAGTAATAAAATTCTTCTGAAGAATTCAATTATTTTTACTTATAATAAAACTCATCGGAGCGTTTCAATTATTTTTCATACAATTATAATTGAATTCCTTGAAAAAAGTAATTATGTTCATGCGCAAGTTTTAATAAAATTCGACAAAAGAATTTAATTATTTAAAAATTTGTTAATAAAATTCTTTATAAGAATTGAATTTTGAAAAGTATTCAATTATTCAATAAATTATATACTTTTGCATTTAAATAATTAAATTCTTGTAGAATTTTCTAATAAAAATTGATTTTCATTTCATAAAAATGAATTTGAGTTACAATTTTAGATTATAATTGAATATTAAAAGCAATATAGCGTAAATTTTTAGAAATAATTGAATTTTGAAATTAATTTTTTTGAAAAAGTTTAATTAAATTTTCTTTTATATTATTTGAAGTTTTCATTTTAAAATATGCATTTAATTAAAGAATTTGTAAATAACTGAAATTTCGTTAAATTGAATATTGTAAACAAATGGACTTGAAAATTGCCAAAGAACTTTTTCGAAAATTATTAAAAATAATTGATATAAAGTAAAATTGTAGTTAAAATTTTTTGAAAATAATGATTGAATTGAAATAATGAAAATAATTTTGAAGAAGTATAATATTCTTATAATATAAAATAATGATTTTATCTCTCGGTCATTTATAAATTTATAAATTAAATAAATTAATTAATTAATTTTATTTATAAATCTCGATCGATTTCTTCATATTTTATAGTTATAAAAAAATTTATAATAATTAAAAATAATTTAATTAAAATTATTTAATGTCAGACGAAAAAAAATTTTTAGATTGTAAATTAATGATTAGTAGTAAAAAAAATTTTAGTCAGAAAAAATATTTTTAATTTAGTAAGATGAGAATCAGTGGTATAAATATTTGCAGTCGGACAAACAATTTCGGTAGTGTAAAAGATTATTGTCAGACAAAACGTATCAATACTAGTAAATTTTGCATCAGTAGTAAAGTGAATTTTAAGTCAGACAAATTCAAATTCGTTTGTTTTTGATTATTAGTAAAGAATTTTAGTAAAAAAAAAAACATTTTTAGTTTATTATCAGTAGTACAGAAAAATTTAGTCAGACAAAACGTTTTGAACATTTTTTGTTTATTATCAGTAGTACAAAAAAAGTTTAGTCAGACAAAACGTTTTGAACATTTTTAGTTAATTATCAGTAGTACAAAAAAATGTAGTCAGACAAGGAATTTCACCAGTTTCACAGAATTTTGTTCGAAAGGAAAAAAAAAATTTTTTATTTAAAATCTGGTAAAAAAATTATTTTTAAGTAACGATTCGATGGAACAATAATATAATGTCCCAGGATAAAGATATTGTGACTTGAAAGTTTTTGCAGTATTCAAGAATAGAAAAAAAAAAATTCCAAAGCCTGAACTGACGGTTATTTCGGAAATCCCTTTTGAACGAAAATGTGGTCATTCGTATGATCGGTCGTGTTCGACCCTCTTCTTTGGGAACCCCCGAAACGTCTTTTAATATACAGTATATCTTCAACGAGACTTAGGATTCCCTGTTCGCTTCTTTTTTTTCTTTCTTTTTTTTTTTTGTCGCGCCTAAAATTCGAATACTGACATTAAATCCAGCACTAAAGAAAGTCAAACAGCATTCCTTGTACACTCTTATACTGTACCAAATAACACTCGTATATTCCAATCTACTTTACCAGCCGGCGAAGAAATAATATCAGCAAAATAATTTCTTTTTACTCTATAAGAATTTTTTTTCATCAAAAATTTTTTTCATCAACTTTGACAGTTTTATCAAAAAATAGAATTTTTAATCAATTTTTTTTTGTGTATTTTTGTATTTTAATTTTATTATTGCTTCGTCATGGAGGATTTTATTTATTATACTTTCTAATCAATTGTAATAATTAAACGAACATTTTTTCTAAGATTATCAAATTGAGACAAAAAACGAATCAAAACGTTGCCGTTTTGATTCGTTTTTTGTCTCAATTTGATAATTTTAGAAAAAAAAGGGATTTTACATTGAAAATATTTTGAAAAATTCTTTATTGTTTAATTGAGACAAAAAACGAATCAAAACGTTTCTTCGCAACATTTTTGATTCGTTTTTTGTCTCAATTTGATGATCTTAGAAATAAAAGTGATTTTAAATTGGAAAAATATTTTGAAAAATTCTTTATTGTTGTGATTTTATACTTTTTTGTTAAGTGCTATTTTTTTCTAAGGAAAAATTAGAGAATGTTTAGAGAAAGTAGGCCACTCGTTATATATACGTTGTGAGATGGTCGCAGTTACGTATCTTGTCTGCTTATATTGCGGCAGATTAAATTAATTCCGGTAAATTAATTGGTAGTTCAGATGTTTAGCCTTAAGTGAGAGAGTCTAGTTTCCCTATGCTTCCTTCTCTTTATCTTCCACCAACACTAGAAAACACTCCTTGATTATATACATGCGCAGAATCCTTTGATTTCATTACAATTCAAATGAACCGTTTTTCAGAAAAAAAAATATCTTTTCATTGGTTAAAATAATAATAACTATTGGAATTTGTACTTAATTCTAGTAAATTGGCTTTTAAAAAGTTTTTAAAAATCGGAAAACAATTATTTTCTATTTATAATTTTTAACCAAAAGTTTAGGGTTGACATATAAAATAAAAAAAAAAAAATTTGTCACTTTCGTTCGATCTTTTCTGTTGACCTGAATTTTGTTTAAGAATATTCTCTGTTCTTGAATTTAGATTATGTATTCAATAATTTAACTCTATTTTAATAAATTTGGTTTCTATTTGAATAAAATTAAAAATTTTAATTTGGATAACTTTAATTTTAAATGGAATATTTTAATTTTAAATTGAACTAGTTTTTGAGTTTGTGTAAATTTTTAGTTTTTGTTACTTTATTATATTTATTATTTTCTATTTTTTTATTTTATTATATGTATTTATTTATTTTTTTTACTTTTCCACTTTCTTAAATTTATTATTTTTCGATTTTCTTATTTTAATATATTTATTATTTATTTACTTTTCCATTTTCTTACATTTATTATTTTTCAATTTTTTTATTTTATAAGATGTTTATTATTTTTTACTTTTATTAATTTTTTTTTACTTTTTTATTTTCTTTTATTTATTATTTTTCGATTTTCTTATTTTACTATATTTTTAATATTTTTTAGAAATATTTATTAATTTTTTTAATTTGATTATATAAATTTTCTTGTCTCTCAACTTTTGAATTATGTTCTTTTGACCTTTAAAATTTGACCTAAAGTTCGAAATTACGTTAGAGGTTGGCTTTAAGAAAATAAAAAAATACAGTAGACAGTTTATTTCTCAAAACAGTTACAGTCAAAAGTGCAACAAATCTCACTTAATAAATGGCAGTTACAAGTGTCATTAACTAATATCAAATATTTCATCAAAATAATTACTATCAATTTTTTTTTACAAAATATTAATAAAAATTTAATAATTATTAAATTTTTTAATTCATAAATTACATTATTTTATATTCTGAATAATTGATATTTATTTTTTTTAATGTTTCTATTTTAAGTCACTTTATTTTTAAATTTACTTTTTTTCAGTCACTTTTTTCAAGTTACTCTTTTATCACTTACTTTTTCAATTTACTTTTATCAAATTACTTTACTTAAAAAAAAAAATTAGTCTAGAATATTTTTGAGTTTAAAAATACATTGTTGACGAAAAAAATAAAATTCGATAATTTTTAAAATCAATAATTGACAAAATCTATATTTGTCGTAATCACTAGGAAAATAACTTATAAATAAATTAACAGTTTACACAGCGATGAAAAAATAATTAAATTATTAAAAAAAAACATTTTTCTTTCCTTTTTATTAAATTTCTTTTTTTTAATTGAAAAAAATATTTTTTAATTTATTGAAAAAAATTTGTTTGAATTCATGGAAAAAAATGTTTTTCAATTCTTTAGGTAATGAAAATTACAATTTTTTTTTACAAAAATTAATTATTGAGTGTTTGTTATAATTTACGATGAACAAGATTTGTTGAAAATTGTAGAAAAAAAAATATTTGTGTAGAATACTATTGAGCAATTTACCGATGTAGAAACAAGTAGAAAATAATACTCGTCCGCTTACGGTGTGTGTCCCACTGTCGATAATTATGACAACCCCGAAGCGTTTATCGACTGCTGTGGTGATTTTTCACCCTCGGAGAATTTACCCTCGAAAGTAGAACTCTTTATCCTTTCGTTGGTACTCATTTCTCAACTGCTGAATATTTCTCATTGTTTATTTTTTTCACGTATTACCATTTAATATCAACTGATTTTCCGATAATTCATTTTTTATTAGAGTTGCCAATCTTTCCAGAGCCTGAAACAGTCAAATTTTTTTTATTTAGTAAATAATTTTTTCTTTTAACTAGTTTAGAAGTTAATTTCAATTTACAATTAAATTTCAATTATCAATTTACAATTCAATTTACATTTAAAATTTAATTTCAATTTACAATTTAATTACCATTTACAATTTTCTTATTCAGTAAATCATTTTTTCTCTTTTAACTTTTGAATTTAATTTCAATTTACAATTTATTTTCAATTTTCAATTTAATTTCAATTTACAATTTGATTTCCATTTACAATTTACAATTTATAATTTAATTTCAATTTATAATTTACAATTTAATTTTAATTTACAATTTGATTTTAATTTACAATTTAATTTTAATTTACAATTAATTACAATTTACAATTTAATTACAATTTGCAATTTAATTACAATTTTCCTTTTTTAATTATTTCATTGTAGAAAATTTAAACAACTTTGTAAAATTGATAATTTGATTAATATTTTTTCCAAGTAAAATTTTTAAAAATAGTTGCTCTTTTTAAATTGAAAATTGAAAATTTGTTATTAAAATCGAATTTCATAAAAATGAAAAAAGTTGGAATTGAAATTTTTTTCCGGGGATAAAACGTACTAAATTCATTTCGTTGTATGTAGCTTTGGCGAAACTCGCCCTGATGGCGTTGCAGGGTTTGGAAGGATCGGCCATAAATGCTGCTCCTGGAGCTAAAAGTACACCGTGTGTCACTCCTCGTTGCATCACCATTTTCCATGTGTCAGTAACACCGTGCACTTTAATCCACAAGAAAAATCCAGCACTCGGACGATCAAATTCTGCTAAACCTGGAAAAAAAATATTAACTTAATTTATTTTAATTTTTAACCTCATTTTTATTTTCATTCATTCAAAAATGACTAAATTTTTATTTAAAACAGAATTTTTATTTCCAACTGGAAATTAAATAATGTAATTTTATTTTCACTTTGACTTTCACTCTCACTTTCACTTTGAAAGATTTTTATTTTCACTATCACTTTGATAGATATTTATTTTTATTTTCATTGTTATTTTTATTTTTGACAAATTTTTATTTTCTCCTACATTTTCACTGTCACTTTGATGATTTTTATTTTCATTTTCAACTTGGAAAATTATTTTTTTTTACTTTCATTTTCACTGTTATTTTTATTTTCATTTTGAAAAATTTTTATTTTCACATTCATTTTCACTGGAACTTTGATAGATTTTCATTTTCACTGTCACTTTGTGGCTGTGAAATTTTAACAGTTTGAATTTTGAAATAAAGTTACTTTGAAGTGAAAGGGAAAATAAAAATTTGTCAGAATGAAAATAAAAATGAAAGTAAAAATAAAAGTTTATCAAAGAGATAGTGAAAATGAAAGTGAAAAGAAAAATTTGTCAGAATGAAAATAAAAATGAAAGTGAAAATAAAAATTGATCAAAGTGACAGTGAAAATGAAAGTAAAAAATAAAAAGTCAGAAAAGTAAAAATAAAAGTGATTACTATTATTAATAATTATTAAATAAAATATTAGGTAATAATTAATTAAACTAACCAGCTAAATGTTTTTCTGCCAGTGACACCATCATTTCCCGACGCTCTTTATAAATTGATCTTATATTACTAAAATGCTCCATCATTTTCTCATATCCCCATATCTTGAGCAATTGATATAGCAGCACCTATTAAATAAAAAAAATCGTAATTAATTTTCGCAATATTATATTACTCGTTATCAATTTTCAATAATTTATTGCACTTAGTGTTCGCACGCTTCTCCGCAATGTACATAAAGATAAATCGAGACACGCGCGCCGCTTGTGTATGAAACGACTTTTTATTTTTATACTAAGAAATTAATTCATAAAAATACGATTTTAAAATTTTATACTAATTTGATTTATAAAACAAAAAACGATTAAAATTTCTCAATTTTAGTCGCATTTTTCAAACAGCTAATTTAATTAATTCAATTAAATTATTTTAATTCATACTTTTTATTTTTATATCAAAAAATTACAATAAAAATAGATTAAATATTAAATTATTAATGTAAATTAATGATTAAAATTATTATAAATTAATTAGCTATTAAATTAAATTTTAAAGTAAATTTTTAATTATTAATTAATAAAGTTATTATAATAAAATAATAAAATTGTAGCAAATAAATATTATTAATAGTAAAATAAAATTCTCAAAAATTTGAAAGAATTTATAGGAAAAAACTGAAAAATGAAAAAAAAATTACAAAAATCCATTTAGATTTTTATTGAACTTGTTTTTCTTTTCTTTTTAACAAAACACGATGAGGGTTATCGATTCTGATTGTTGTAACTGGATAAATGAACAAAAGTGCAAATGAAAGAAGAATAATTATCGTCATTAAATGATTAATTAGAATTATTTTCTCTCGTGACGCTGAAGCTGTTAATTTTTTTTTCATTATTATTACTCTTGTTGTGAACTGTTATCAATAATATGCAATTTTTTTTCTCACTCAAAAAAAATTTTCTGTTGCTTTTCTTGAAATGTGATTTAATTTAATTTTTTTATAATTTTTTTTTTGGTTGGTAATTTTATTGACGTACCTGCGATAAAGTAGGCGCGTGAAGATGACTACTTTGCATATGAAGTTCGACACTAGCGACTAATGGTGCTGCTGCTGTTATCACTCCAATTCTGAGCCCACTGCTTAAAATTTTTGAGAATGAATCCACTCTAATGACCCTTCCCTCTGTGTCTAATGACAAAAATGATTTTGGCGCCTCCTGAAAATTCCAAATAAAAAAAAATTTGCTTAGTTATTTTTTTTTACTGTCACATATTTTTTATTTCATTAACGAAAAAAATAATTCTTTCGATAAATTAATTTTTTTTTCGATAATAAATTTGTAAAATTTATTCTTTATTTTATTATTAATTTAAAACGTATTTTTTTATAAATACAGTTAACTCTGGATAATTAAATTTACGACAAATTGAATTTCTCATTTCTCAATACAGTAAACATTCGATAATATTGAACTTTCAATAAATTGATTTTCTTAATAAATTAAAGTTACTTTCGGGACCCTTGAAAAAAATTTGATACCTGAAGCATTCGATAGGTAAAAAACTCGATAATTTGAAATTTTCCACGTCCCTTGGGATTCAATTTATCGAGTGTCGACTGCATCAAAAAAAATAATTTTTCCATATTTGTTTTATAAACAACAAATACAAATTATGGAGAAAGGTTGTTAATGCAATAGTTAAAGAATTTTTTTGTTAATAACTTTGAAAAGAAATACAGTCGACTCTCGATAATTCGACTTTCGATAAATAGAATTTCAAAATAAATTGAATTTTCCTTCTTGGAATATTTTTTCGTATTGAACAAATTTTTAAAAAAGATTATCTACACTTGAGCTTCACTCGAGTGTACTCAATGGCTTGTCAGAAATTTCGAGTCCACTCAAACGAGATTCCAGTGTAATAATAAATATTCTTTATTCAATAAATAAATTAGTCCATTCGAGTGGAGCTCAAGTGTAAATAAATATTATTTATACAATAAAAATATTATATACACTTAAGCTCCACTCGAGTAGACTACTTTAATTTTTCCAAATTTGTTTATTACTTAATTTCAATATTCGTACGTAATTATAAAATTTATCAAAACTTTTTCAATGCGACAATAAATAATCCACAAAAAGTAATTCTATTTATCGGAAGTTTAAAAATCGAGAGTCGACTGTATAGAATATATAAAATACAGTCGACCCTCGATAAATTGAATCCCAAGGATCGTGGAAAAATTGTAAAATTATCGAGTTTTTTATTTATCGAATGCTTTAAAAGTAACAAATTCTTTCAAGGGACCCGAAAGTAACTTTAATTTATCAAAAAATTCAATTCATTTGAAAGTTTAATTATCGAGAGTTTACTGTATAAGAACAAAAAAATATATAAAATAATAAATATTAATTATATGAAATAAGAAAAGCAATATAAATTAATTAAAAAATTGTTAGTGGTTTATAAATATTATTCAGTAAAAAATTAAAAATTCAGAAAAACTGGTGGTAAAAAATAAATTTCCATTCAACTTACATCGGTGAAATACATAAAATGATAAGGATCGTCATCAAGTATCAGGAAATTGTAATCGCAGGCTATCCTGTATATTTCCTTTCGCCTCTCCAATGGCAGAACTGATCCTGTAGGATTTGCACCAGTCGCATTAATATACATCATTTTTGGCATTTTTTTCCCCGACGCTTCTCTCTCTCGTAATGTTTCTCGAAGAAAATCAGGATCAATTCCCTGATCGTCCTGACGAATTGCAATCAATTCCACGTCGTGTGGTGCAATCTAAAACAGATTTTATTGAATTTCTTTTTTTAGCTCCAAAAAGAAAAATGCCGCAGTAAATAAAAGAAGAAACGAAAAAAAAATTAAAAGTAAATTCAATTAAACTAAATTAGTTCAATTAAACTCAATTAAATTCAATTAAATTCAAGTACATTTAATTAAACTCAATTAGTTCAATTAAATTTAATTTAATTCAATTTAATTCAGTTAAATTAAATTAAATTTAATTTAATTAAATTCAATTACATTAAATTTAATTAAATTCAATTACATTAAATTCAATTCAATTCAATTAAATTAAATTCAATTGAATTCAATTACATTGAATTAAATTCAATTGATTCAATTCAAATTAAATAAAATATGAAATTGATAAGAAAAATTTGTTTTTAAAAAATTTTTAATCAAAATAAATAAAATAAATCGTAAAGAAAAAAATTGTTTGAAAGTATTTATATTTTATTTCTTTATAAAGATTTTGGGGGAGAAAATTTTTCCCTCACCACAACTTCAGCGCCAGGATAAAATGGATCTTGGACCAAAATTGGATCCCCATAACCAATTATGGCTTCAAGCGATTTACTCAGTCCATCTTGACCCCCGGCGACTATCACGATGTCCCGACTTTCCCACAGGGGTGGTGCATGTGCTTTTCTCTGGAAATCTCTTAATATCTGAAAATAGAAAATTCTTCACTCAAAACTTAACAAAGATTTTTTACGAAAAAAAAAATCGTTCCCATTATTTCGTACTTTTTCATACAAAGCTTGTATTTCTACTTCTACTTTTTGTTAATTTAGAAAAATTTAATTATTTAAATAATAAAATAAGGAATTTATTGCTAAATAATATTTATTGATTAGATAATATTTATTGTTTCACTGGAACGCCACTCGAGTGGAATAACAATAACTATTTAGAAATTGAGTTCATTCGAGCGGAGCACAAGTGTAAATAATATTAATTTATTGAATAAATAATTCTTATTATTAAATAATATATATTGAATAAATTATATTTATTACTGAGTAATATTTATTAAATAAATAATATTTATTGCTACATTAGAACGTCATTCGAGTGGACTGACAATATCTGATAAACTACTGAGTCCATTAGAGTGGAGCTCAAGTGTAAATAATGATTATTTATTGAATGAACAATATTTATTTACATTTGAGCACTGCTCGAATATTATTTATACAATAAATATTATTTACACTTGAGCTCCACTTGAATGGACTAATAATATCTGAGAAACCACTGAATCTAATCGATCGAAGCTCAAATGTAAATAATATTTACTTACTGATTAGAAAATTTTTATTATTAAATATTATTTATTGAATAAATTATATTTATTATTAAATAATACTTAAGGACTAAATATCATTTATTGTTACACTGGAACGCCTGACAATATCTGTTGAACCACTAGGTCCACGGGATTGAAGCTCAAGTGTAAGCATTATTTATTGAATAAATATTGTTTATTATAAATAATATATAGAACAAATTATATTTATTAGTAAATAATATATTGAATAAGTAATATTTATTTACACTTGAGCTCCACTTCAGTGGATTAACAATATCTCATAACTTACTGAATCCACTCGATTGGCGCCCAAGTGTAAGTAATATTTTTTATTGAATAGATAATATTTATTTACACTTGAGCTCCGATCCAGTGTATTTTGACAATATCTCATAACTTAACGAGTCCACTCGTGTGGCGCTCAAGTGTAAATAATATTTATTGTTGAACTATATTATTCAAATAAATTTATTGAGTAAATATTTATTAATTAAATAAATATCAACCACCATTTTTCTCTCAATCGTAAAAATGGAAATTATCTTTTTCTTTTAAAATTTTTTTTCTAAGTTAATTAATCAAGAAGAAGAAGAAAATTACCAACCTGTAATAATGGTGGATAACCTTGACTTGGAATATATTGAAGTGCTGCACCCAATTCTTCACCTTCGAGAGTAAATTTCACTCCATCCTTCAATTTGACAGTGATTTCCGTAAATGGAAAAGTTTCCTCATTTGGCATTCCCTCAGCTAAGGAAATTACACTATGAGGTGCCGAGTAAGCAATCTTGGCTAAAATCAAATGAATTTTCTCAAATGAATGATCATCCCATTGTATAATAATAAATTATCATTTTATTACACAATTAAATGTTTCGCGCTCTATTAAAATTAAAATTATTTCCCCCTTTGTTTCAATATTTTCCCAGTGTCTTTTATTAGGTATGTGCAATTATTGTAAATTTTATACATTTTTTTATAGTTATAATTTGTTTATTATTTTTTAAAATCTTTATGTCTTTTAGAAAAATTTATTATAAATTTTTTTTGGAAAATTATGTTTTATATTCTACCTTTCGATTGACCTGGAACTTAAAATTTTTTCCCAAAATAATGAATTCAAATAAAAATTTAACAATAATTTAAAATGATTAATTATTAATTATTATTAGATTAATAAATAATTATTAATTTATTTATACTAATTTTTTATTTTATACAGCTATTTTTCACATTTTACTTTTTCAAAAAAAAAAAATAATAACAATAATTATAGTAGGATTTATGTTTTCTTTTTTCAGTAAAACAATCGGAAATTCGAAAGACGGATATTGTGGGAAAAAAAATTTCACATTCTTCACTAATTTCCGTGAAATAAATTATATAATAAACTAGAGTGTAGAAAACTGGTTTATCGTTTGCCTTGTAATTTTATTCACGTTTTCTCCAATCGCTTGATATTTTAACCGGTTATTAACCTGCCAAGTGTGTCGAACGGTAAATATTTCTTGAATTCGATTTCGTTTCAAAAGTATTCATAAAAATTTATCAAATATAACATAAAACATATATAAATTTACATTTTATTAAATAAACACAAAAAAAGGAATACAATTTTGTTTCGATTAAATTTTCAATTCAATTTTTTTTCAAATTAATACAATTTTTATTTAATGATTAAAATTAATTAAATCTTATTTAATTGTTTTAATTAATACAATTCTTATCTATTGATTTAAATTATTTCAATTTTTTTTATTAATTTAAATTAATTCAATTTTTATTTATTAATTTTTATTATTATTGAATACATTGTAAATAAATAATTTATTATTTTATTTATCTAATCGCAGTCAACTAAGTAATTTAACATTTCAATAAATATTAAAAAATAAATAATTATTTCAATAATAAAAAAAAACTATTTTTGTCATTATATTTTTATTTTTTTTTTCGTTTTTATTTATTAATTTAAAACAATTTTTAATTTTTTGGTTAAGTTTTTAATTAAATTATAAATATTGCCATTAATTGTTATTGTAAATTTAAATAATTATATACTCCAAATAATGTTAAACTTCATATATTATCTTGTTTGAAAATAATAGAGTAATTTAACAACAGTTTATGTTAATTTAAAACAATGAAAATGCAATTAGTTATAAATAAGTTACAGTCAATTATTTATTTGCAACTAATTTTCATTTTATGTAATTTAATTTGCAATTTATGACATTAAATGTAAGATTTATGTAGCATTGGATTTTTGCTTATTAAAAGTAATAATTGATTAACTTTAAAAGTTAATTATACTTGTAAATATTGTAATTAATATTCATATTTGTTAACAATTTTTTATTTTTTACTTTTTATTACTGTTTTCTGACAGTTGTGTATAAATAAATAATTCATTTATTTGCAATCAAGTAAATGTTTGTTAATTTAATAAATAATTGAATAATAATTAAAGTAAAATAAATAGTATTTAATTATGAATATAAATAAATTTTGAATATAATTAATAATTTATTTATTTCCTATGAACTGAATGTTTGTTAATTTATTAAATAAGTAAATTGAAGTAAGTAATATTTAATTAAATATGAATAAATTTGAACCTTGTAAATAATTATTTATCTGCAATCAACTAAATGTTTAACGATCATAATAATTTCTACTATTTTTTATTCATTATTATTTATTATTATTTTTTATTATTTATTATTATTTATTAAATATTGCTATTTATTATTATTTATTTATTATTTATTATTATTTATTAAATATTGCTATTTATTATTATTTATTTATTATTATAGCTATAATTTTTTGTTTTTTATATTTCGTTTATTAATTAACAATTTTTTGTTTATTGATATTAAAAAAGGGGAAAGAAATATTGTAGTTTCCTTTTTTGAAATTAATTTGAAAATTTGGTCCATTTCACTCACTTAATTCTCTCGTGGCTGCTGAGCGTCTTTGCTTGGCAACTTCTGTTTTAAACTCAGTATAGTCCAGTTTAAACTTTTCTTTGCCTTTTATCATCTTGTCGGTTTTCAAGAAAAGATCCAAGAACAAAGACTAATAAATTGTAGCGAAACTAATTTTCTTCACTTTCACACCAAGAAAAAAGAAAAAAAAATTGCAACCAAATTCCCACTTTTAGTTAATAATTATTTTTCGAATAAAAGAAACTTTAAATTGACGAAAACAAAAATTCAAAACTCACTAAATATTTCAACTGAAAAGATGTTCAGTTTTTTTTCAATTAATTCAATTTTGTAATTAAATTATTATGCATTTAATTTATTTTAATTCTGTATTTAATTTTTTATTTTATTTATGTTTGCATTTCGTTTATTTAATTTTGTATTTCGTTTATTTCTTTTTTTATTATTTATTTTTTTTTTTTTTGGTAAAAATTTTTAAAATCAACAAAAATTGAATTTGAACTTATTAATGAAAATTGATGAAGAAGAAAACAAAACTTTTACAGAAAAGTAAAATGAAAAAACAAAAAAATTGAAGGTTGACTTCGAGGGCGTCCACTTGACAATACTGACACTCCGCTTGGTTTCGACGGCTTTTATATTTAAGCGAAGGCATTGGTTGCGTCAGATAAAGTTAGTGGAGAATATATATACAACACATTCAAAACAAAACATTGCGGCGGCATAAACTGTTGATGGGTATTATAAATTTCTCCCTCTCAAATAAATTTACAAACACGAAACGAGCGCACGCGGACTTTTTGTTTCATCAGCATCAATTCATAGAGAGTAATTTTCAAGTTAACATTACTTTAATAATATAATATAAAATAATATTGTTAACATATCCCTTGGTCTCCCTTTTCTCCCCTCCCCCTCTCAACACACATCCACCCACCCTTTCTCCCTATAAAACAGGTCAAATGGTTAAATCAACGGATAATGGCTTTTGTTCGGTTAAATGTGATTACAAGCATTTTGCCATTTCTCCCCCCTTTTTAATATTTACATACTGATTCAACTTATGTACAATTTAACTAATAAACGTGGCAAAAAAAAATTTATTTATGAATCAAAACAAATGTCTGCAATTCAATTTTAAATTTGGTAAAGAACATTTTATTTTAAGAATAAAAATTAATTTCACATCTGTTTAAATTGTATTCGTATATAATTAATATGGGAAATATTGTGAGGAATATTTTTTATTTGTCGATAATAAAAATAATTTTTTTTTTTATTTCTCGATAATAAAAATGATTTATTTTAATTTCTCGATTTTAAAATCGAATAGAAATTATTTTTTATTTCTTTATTTTTATTTGAAAATTGAATAATAAAATTGTTGATTCAAAATTCAGTAAATTTTTCAATAGAGAAGATGTTTGCTTTTCTTTTTTTATTTAAGTTAATTTTGTTATTAAATTATTTTATTTTTCATTTGAAAAGATGAAGAAATGAAAAAAATGATATTTTTAATTTTGCTATTTAAAAATTGAATAAAAATGATCTTTTTATTTATTAATTTAAAAATTGAATATAATAAACATGATATTGTTTTATTTTTTTTATTTGAAAATTGAATGAAAATTATGTTTTTTATTTCTTGATTTGATAATTAAATAATAAAAATTATAATATTTTTTATTCATCGATTTAAACATTTAATAAAAACAATCTTTTTATTTATTGATTTAAAAATTTAATAAAAAACATTATATTTTTAATTTTTTGATTTGAAAATTGAATGCAAATTATATTTTTTATTTTTCGATTTGATAATTCAATAATAAAAATATTTTTTATTCTTCGATTTAAACATTTAATATAAACGATCTTTTTATTTATTGAATTAAAAATAAATTATTTATTTATTTCTTTAAATAATTATTTATAATGAAAAATTTATTTATTTATGAAGAATTATTATCATTTATAAAAGTAAATAATAAACAAATAATAAATAAATAGTAAATAATAGTAAATAATAATAAATAGTAAATAAAAATATAAAGAAACATTTTTTTATGCAGCAAAAATAATTTATGTTGAACAAATATTTGTTTATGCTCCAAAAACAATAGCCCATTTCGAACAAATTTTTCGCTTTTTATTAAAGAAACAAAAAATTTATACGTCGAACTGCCAAACGAGTAATTCCCCAAGATTTTCCTGAAGGAAAAAAAAAATATTTTTCCTTTTGTAATTTTTTTTTTTCTTTGAACAATTTATATTTATTTATAATAATTTGTTATTTCCCGACTCAAGTGCAACGTAAATCACTGATTTTATTGACAATTTTCATAATCAAAATACTATATTTATTGTTGTTAAATGTAATTTAAAATCAAAAAATTAAATTGTTTTTTAAGATCGTATACATTTATAAATAAATATATAAACTTGTAGATTTATATACAAATATATATAGAGACACAACTCTTTTATTTCGTTCAATGAAGTGACGTGCCTATCAATAAATGTGACGTGAAGTGCGAAAAAATGTTTTTCAATTTTACGCGGTAGTAAACAATTCAATTTATATTGACATAATAATTATGATAATTATTATTTTTTTCTCAACGGATGTCAATTATAAAAAACAGGACACAGAACAAGTTGAAAATGAAAAGAAATTAACATTTTTTTTTTGTTTCATCTCCGTCTGGTAATAATTTCTAAATGTGCATTGTGTATAAATAATTACAAATTAATTAATAATGTCAATTACTAAATTAAAAATTATTTTCCTATAATATTATTAATAATAATAATGATTTAATAATAATAATAATAATAATAATAATAATAATAATAATAATAATAATAATAATAATAATAATAATATTAGTATTTTTTATTTGTTTATTTATTTATAATTGTAATAATAATTTATAATTTTCTTCTGTTTTTGTAAAATAAATTTTGGCATATATTTTTGTTTTTAAATTTAACAAATATTTACCAATTTCGTTGTCACTGTTAATAATTATTGCTAATTAAGACTTAATGAGAATGTTTTTCGCTTTTCTATTTTTTTAACAGGAAAAATTATTTACATTTTCTTTGTTAATAGAAACAAAAGGTAAAAAATAAATAGTTGCAATTAAAATAAAATCGTTAATAACTTGTTTTTTGCTGTCAATACACTATTGTTTTATTTTAAATGGCAAAAAATAATTTTATTTAGTTTGTAACTAGAATTATGTAAATAAAATATATTTATCTGAGTTTAAAATAATATTTTTTAAATAAATGAAATTTATTTTAGTTAAAACAAAATTTTATAAATAAAATAAATTTATTTTAATTTTCAGAAATAAATAAAATAAAAAAAATTTATTTCCAAATCGTGATTTAAAAAAAAAATTTTTTCTCTAGAAAAATAACAAAAACAAAAATTTGTTTTGACGTTTTTTTTTATAAATTCCCCAATAAACTTGTTATAATAAATTGTGTCATGTTTTTCTCATTAAGTCGCGTGTCTGGCCTACTTGAGGGTCACGGTTCTGCGTTGATAATGATGTAATGATAACCTACTGTTTCATCGAATGGAATCAATGAGTTAATGAATGAATGAGGTAGAATGACCTCAGTTATAGAAAAATCATTCTTATTATTCATGGTTTCGAAGGAAATTATTTTTTTTCATTTTTAATTTTTATTTTTATTAATAATTAATAATAAAAATTTGTTTTTATTATAAAATATTTTATAATTTTTATTTTTATTTGTAAAATTGACAATTCGATGCAGGAAAAAGAAATTCTCACTGGACAAGTGTTAAAATATTTTTAATGTAAATATACACATTCCTTATAAGTTTCGACAATTTTTTTTTCTACGCTTTTGCCTGATGCAATAAACTTGATGAATTAATCTCGTATTTTGTTTTAAATTTTTTTTTCTCCAATATTTATAATTATTCATGGCGCGTGTCTTCAGTGATCGTTGATTTTATTGAAATTTCATCAGTATTCGTTAGTGTTATTTTTTTAATAAACAAATTTTTTATCTTTAATTCTAGTGAAATGATGTCTTTATTATTTTTTTTTTTTTAATTTTTATAGTTGAATTATGTTAGTAAAATAAAAATTTAAAAAGAAAATTAAAATAAATAAAATACTGGAAAATTATGAGAAATAAAAAGAACTGAAACAAAATAAAAAAAGAAATAAAATTAAAAAAGTTAAATAAAACAAATACCAAATAAAATAAATAAATAAAATAAGAAACTAAAACAAAATAAAAAAAAAGAAATAAAAAATATAAAAAAACTAAATAAAATAGAAATCTAAATAAAATAAGAAACTAGAATAAAATAAAAAAACCAAATAAAATAAAAAGACCAAAATAAAATAAAGAAACTAAAATAAAATATAAGAATTAAAATAACAGAAAAATCTAAAACAAAATAAAAATAACAATTTAATAACAATTTGCTGAAGTATAAAATATTTTTTACAAAAAAGAAAAATAAAAACAAATAAGTTTTGATACAATTTTTCGTTTGGAATTTGTTTCAGAACAAAAATTAAGAGAATTCGAAACAAAAATAGATGGAAATTTTAAAATGCGTATTAAAAAAAATACGGTAATTTATTCGTTGGATTGATAAAAAATGAGAATAAATTATTTTTGATCGGATCAAAATAAAATATCTCAAGTTTCGTAAAGATTAACACTGGTTCCTTTTATAAAAAGTTGAATATAAATTTTTTTCTTTCACATTCATTTATAATTTTATCCAAAACTTCTTTTTATCTGCGTCTCTTCTATTATCTGCGCGTCTCTCGCTTTATGTTTTCTTTTTTACTCAAGAATTCGGCTATTTTTAGTTAATTTATTATCGATCAAAAATAGACGAATTTTTTTACGTTTTAGACAAAAAAAAAAAGAAATTATTCCCCTTTTTCCATAACTGGTATATTTACCTTTTTATTTAATTCTTTCATTTATGAAATCTAATCACTAATAAAAGTGATAATTTTATCATAAACTACTTGTAAGATTTATCTTAATCTTGAAGAAATATTTACATTGTAATATTTATAATTAAAAAACTATTTTAGGTGTGGAAAGTTTCTTTTTTTTTATTTTATTTTTCTGAGTGTTTTTTTTTTGCAAAAATTAAATTATGAGTTCGTCATCTTTTATTATATTTTGTAGACAAATTTTTTTAACAAACAGTAAATATTATTTTTTATTATTATTTATTATTACTCAGTAAAAAAAATTTTTTAAGAAAAAGCAAATATTTATTACTTTCTATTTTGTAAAAAAATTTTTGCAACAAAAAGTAAATATTATTTATTATTATTATTACTTATTTACTGTTATTTAATTAAAAAATAAATATTATCTTTTTTGCAA